CGGCGATTGTGTCCCTCCGTAAAGTGGTTCCATTCCCCAAGCTTTGAACAAAAGTGCATTCAAAGCACCTCTTTGTACGCATTTGTTAACACGTGTCCGTCACAAGAGTGGCAGATGCACAGCTCCGCACTATATTTGGTCATGGGACTACCGCTCTTGCAGTAAAGCATGCACGGTGTGTTGAATCTGACAGAAAAATCTGTATAACCCAAAATGATCCAAAAATAATAATATTTTCTTTTGTATCGTTCTTTGCCACCACTGGTTATTGCAATAACTTTACGCGCGTCGAGCATTGTGAAGGCATTCGTGGACGCACTCGTGTCAAACGCTGTCACGCACAGTGTTCACACCTAGGGCGAGTGGTTTGGAGGCTGAGAAGGCAGCTGTCGCCATTAATCCACTCCGCAAAGTCCGTCCTAGTGCTGGTGGCAGTGGCTCGAGCAGAGAGGTTGAAACAACAACAAAATAATCATGTTGACCGCAACGCAGAGTGCCAAACGAAATACGATAGCGGCCATCGTATTGACTGCGAAGACGTGCGTTTGAGTGTCAAGAAACATGTCAGTGGGCTTGGGTCTAGAAGGGACAATGGGCAGGGGTCAAGGCGAACAACAGAGTGCCAGCTAAGGGAGTAAATGGGGCACCGCGGTGGTGAGATATGAATTACTTCGCCTGGAGTTGCATGTTCTGCCCGTGGTCGCATGGAGCTTATCGTCTCTGGTACACCAGTGAGTCTAGAAAAAAGCCATCTTATTAAGTCATTCTTTCTCTTGATCTGTAGATAACCACAGCCGCTAATACCAGAGAAGGAAATATCAGTTTTAAAGCAATGTGCAGCTCCTCGAGTATGTATGTAGAACTGCTGTCGCGCCGTACGTAACCAACCATGCTAATCAAAGGTGCGGGGGAAGGACAACAAACTAAACACAAAAAGCAGTTCTAAAGAAATGAGTTTTCAATCTAGATTTAAAAGTGGATGGCTCTGGTGGATTCCTAATATCGAAAGGAAGAACATTCCAGATGGCACTGGGCTCTACGCCAGTTCCAAATGGGTATTTCTTCATCCGGTGACTTGACGCCAAAAGCACAAATGTGTATAAAATTGAGAGATATGAAAAATAGCACAAAAATCTGGGATTGCCTCATAAACATGCAGTAGCTCTTAGAAACACGAATGCCAAAGGGAGTGGCATGGCCCTTGCGACCATAAAAAAAATCTGTATCTAATTTTTACGGACAAGACAACCCAGTCTGCTACCAACCAGAAACAGATGACTACAGCTGGGGTTTCTGTATGATGTGTTTTATCTGCTGGGAATTATGCACGCTTCGGTTTACAAACAAGAAAACGTGTTTTTAATTTAAATTGATTGTGTTATTTAGCACTGAGCACACATGCACCTACTGACCTAAATGTTGCAAAAAAGGAAGAAAATGCAATATCATAGCATGCACGACATATTGTGCAGATTGCATTGGTCACTTGCATTGCTGTACAAGTATTACCGTGTGATTTTAATATAATTTAACATCATTAAAATCTAATTTAAAATTGGCAATTAAAAAAACACATGTCAAAGGGCGTAGTAGTAGTCGCGAAGGTGGTTTATGCGCTGTGCTTTGAACCCAGTAACAGGCGTTCGATTTCTGGCCACGGCTAACATCAGTGGTGAGTAATAACCAGAGGTGGGACAAAGTCATTGTTATGCAAGTCCAAGTCGAGTCTGAAGTCATCAAATTCATGACTCGAGTCTGACTCGAGTCCAAGTCACATGACTCGAGTCCACACCTCAGAGGTGGGACAAAGTCATTGTTATGCAAGTCCAAGTCGAGTCTGAAGTCATCAAATTCATGACTCGAGTCTGACTCGAGTCCAAGTCACATGACTCGAGTCCACACCTCAGAGGTGGGACAAAGTCATTGTTATGCAAGTCCAAGTCGAGTCTGAAGTCATCAAATTCATGACTCGAGTCTGACTCGAGTCCAAGTCACATGACTCGAGTCCACACCTCAGAGGTGGGACAAAGTCATTGTTATGCAAGTCCAAGTCGAGTCTGAAGTCATCAAATTCATGACTCGAGTCTGACTCGAGTCCAAGTCACATGACTCGAGTCCACACCTCAGAGGTGGGACAAAGTCATTGTTATGCAAGTCCAAGTCGAGTCTGAAGTCATCAAATTCATGACTCGAGTCTGACTCGAGTCCAAGTCACATGACTCGAGTCCACACCTCTGGTAATAACCAAAACCAGTCCTGGGCCACCCCCTTTAACCCCCTCCACTCACCAGTGTGGTGAAGTATGGTCAAACAAATGCGATGGCCAAAGGCATGGAAGGTCTTCATCCAATAGTGGATTTAAAAGTACTGTAATTTCCAAAATATGTTTTATATGTATGATGAAATGAACAAAAACGAACTCTCTCATGATTTTCATGTGCCACCAATTCTACATTCTGACGGCTACTTTGTTTTAACTTGCTCTACAGAGCACATTCCAAACACGTCATAACTTAAATGCATTCCAAACATTTACGATTGATCGATCCAACACAAAACAATAATTATTTGCAATAATACTGGGAGTTAATGCCCAACCCGATAAGAGGATGATTTCCCCGAGGGGTTAAATTATATGTAACACTTACCTCGCTAAACTGGGTGAGTGCAAATGTGTTTCAGTGCCCTTGGGGCGATTGCTTCGTAGTTATTTTTCATCTTCAAGGAGGCCCTCCCAGTTCCTCGTAATGGGTGCGATGCAGATATCTTACACATGTTCGACTTTTTTTCCCACAGTACACGGCCAACCGTGCTAATTAGAGTTGCGGGGGAAGGACAACAAGCTAAACACAAAAAGCATTAACAAAAAATGAGTTTCCAATCATTATTTAAAAGTGCATAGCTCCAGTGGCTTCCGAATATCGGAAGAGCATTCCAGACGGCCGCAGAAGCGCATCTGAAAGCGCGCGATAATGCGGTGACCGCCATCTGTGTTCGATGGTTAGCCAGAAGACCGCCGCTGCGAGGATGACCATGGGTAAAGCTCACGTGGATTTCAGCTGATACCGAGTGCGGAAACTTTGGGACGCAAAGCCTCTGGGCAGTGGGCAGTGGGGCTGAGCTGGCTGGACACATTGACACGTTTTCACATCAATCACGGGGAACCGTGGATGTGCGTCGTCCCTGCCCCAGGGCTAGAGCTGGACGCTTTTAAAACTTAGGGCACCACCCAGCCAGCCACAAGCCGTGCTGCTCGTGAGGTCTAAAGGATCACGGGGGGCAAATACCGCTCCCCAAAATACCACGCCCAGGTGTTTAGGGTGGCCTCCAGTTGAACACCATCGGAGACTGCCAGGGCTCCGATGAGATGTTAATTACAGCTCATCGGTTTTTTCTTTGGTGAGCATTTATTACAAGAATAATAATAATCAACAGCCCTTTGACAAATGTTGCAACATGGGGTGTTCAGTTTAACACGTAGATTGTAAATGCTGTGGATTCACTCTTCAACACACCGGTATGCTGAATTAGTAACTATTTGGCGTTTTGTTTACGTGACAAATGCCTTCCTCTTCTTGATTCTTTCGGTAAAGTCCCGTAGAAGGGAAGTAATAAAATAATAAAAATAAAACATAATAAAATAATATAATAATTACTATTTTATTATATTATTATATTATTTTATTTAATTATGTTTTATTTTTAATATTTTATTACTTCCCTTCTACGTGACTTTACCGAAAGAACCAAGAAGATGAATCCCTGCAGTCACGAAAGCTTTAAATCGAAAAATGCCTTACTGATTGGCCCTGTCGGGTGGTGGAGGTGTTCGTTAAAAGGCACCACAGTTCACGATTTGAAGACTTTCAAGGAAGTAAAGTAATCGCGAAAATAAAAATCCTGAAACAAAGTTTAAAACGCACAACGGCATACCAATAACGTTCACTTTGAAATCCGTTCCGAGTTGTAGGTTCAATTGGGCCCATATTACAAAACAGCATTTCACTTGGGATTCCATCCCATTGCATTCGAATTGTTCACGCCTGTTTATTAATTCATGAAGGGCGTCTCCTACCCCGCCTACGCAAGGCGTGTCTCGCCCGGCTATTACCATATATGAATATTCATCACGTGGGAGGATCGCTCGGAGTTTTTTTACGTTTGGATACTCCCACATAACTCGAGACTTAGACAAGATCTCAGATCGGTTTGTGGACACTTACACACCTCTCAAAACAGCAACAAAAGTTGCAATTTTTTTTATTCCGCCCCCCCCCCACTCACCCATTGATTAAATACGCCAAACATTCATATTGCATTATTGTTCGTAATAGTACGCACAATACCCACGAAATCACACCCTTCACTTGCTTGCTAAGTGCATGGTGACTGACTACAGTACAGTATATGATTCACCCTCATGTCATCGTCACACACACTACACAACCCGTGCAAACGTCTCATCATGAAGCTGAATTATTTACAACCGTGCATTTCGTGGATTAATATATTCGTAGTCCACAGCTACGAACATAGCATTGCATTGGTCTGATGTCACTTGTAATACGTTCATACATACCATACATAACGTAGGTCGCTGTGGGTGCATGTGATTGTAACTGTCTCTTAACTGCCAGGAAAACGCTATTACATTGCACGGGCGACGATTGCTGATGATAACATGACCACTGACACGGATGACATTCACACAGACACATCGCAACTGTCATCTACATGAGTGATGCTGATGGGGCAATCGTTGGCGCACCGCACTACGCAGCCCGGATGACCGAGTTCAATTCCAGCCCACGGCGAAACAATCGGTGGCCCCCCCACTCTTCGCCAACGCGGCACTGACCAGCGCGGTGAAGTATGGTCAAACAACCCCCCCGTGACCGACGCGGCCTTCGTTCAGCAGTGGAATGACACCAGTCTGCATATCACGTTAACGTTTTGTTGTTGCACGGATAACGGAGGTTGTTGCAAGTGCTTATACTCACCGCATTGGCGGTGCTCGTGCAGATTGCTAACGCGAACAGCACGGCCACCCTGTAAGCCGACAGACAGTGGGGGGGGGGGGGGAGGGCAGTTTAAAATAAATACATCACAAACACAGCAAGTATTACCGTCAACTCGCACAGGACACCGGGCATACGCTCATCGTGCCGTCTGTGATAACGTCGTTTCTCTCGACGACTGATGCTGAACGCGGACAGGCGAAATGGGTTATGAATACATTAAAGAAGGTTCACCGATGGATGTAACACACACGCACCGACATACACACACCAACCCGCAACTCACCACCGCATCTTTGCGAGCCTCTGCCGACTGCGAGGAGATGCCTATGACTCTCTGCTCGCCTCTCCTCTCCGGTCACCGTCGACGCTTCTCCAGTCTGCCGCTGCTGTTGAACGACTGACGTTGTTCGGCCCCCTTCCAAGGGAACAACACACAGCAGCAGCAGCAACTTTCGTGAAAACAATCGGAGCCGACGGCGTCTATAAGTTCACGAGTAAAAGTTGTGCGGCGAGCGAGCGAGGAGAGAGGAGAGAGAGGAGAGATCGCACCGCGCGCGACGCACGGAGAGAAGGGAGATATACGCTCACCGATTTCACCTCTCCACCCAACAACCACCAACAAAACTCCCCCTCCTCTGTGTATCACGAAACGACTCCAGCAACACGTTCACAAGAGGTTCTCCCGAACGCCCCCCCACCCCCCCACCAGCCGTATACGCCGATTGCAGAACGGCGAAACGTGCGCGCGCGCGCGTGTGTGCTGGTCGAGGAGTTATGGAAGGGCAGCCGAAGCGAACAGCAAAGTTCGCAAGAGGAAAGGAGCGGTGGGGTGGTGGTGGGGTGGTGGTGGTGGGGGGGAAGAGTAAGAGACAAGCACAGCTCCCTCCCTCCCACGCTCGCAAGCCCGCAGCACGGGAGGAGGAGGAGGTGGGTGGAAGGGGGGTGGACACGTCACGTAGAGAGAGGCCAGCCAACCCGCAGCGGCACACTCAGTGCGCACGTTCCACAGAGAACACACAGAGACAGAGAGAGAGCCGGGGAGATGATGGCTTCTAGATTTGAAGCTTTCGTGACTGCAAGGATTCATACTCTTAGTTCTTTCGGTAAAGTCACGAAGGTAAAAAATGAAATAAAAATTAATAAAAATATGATGCAGCAAATCTGGCTGTGACGGTCCCACCTGATGACGGAGACTTGTGTTGCCTCCGAAACGTCGTGATTTTTATTGTTTTATTTTTATTAATTTTAATTTCATTTTTTACCTACGTGACTTTACCGAAAGAACTAAGAGTATAGATGATGGCTCGTGCACGCCCGTTGTTCGTCGTGAGCCCCGCGGTTGAATCCGCTGCTGGACGGAGGCTTCAGACGACGGATCAGACCCTAGCGCCCAAGCCCCGCTCCTTGAGCTGTCGTTCCGTTGCGATGATCGACCAAAGCGCAGAGGCAGCGGGCATCGCACGGCTACACGTGTGTGGCACGCGTGTGATGAGGGCGTTTGTTATTTAGGCATTGGGGGGGGGGAGAGATACGTTGTGTGTTATTAAATGTATCTAATGCCATGCGGATCTCCGTTGAAAAAAAAATCACGTTTAAGATGTTACCTAATCACAATTAAAGAGAATTCCAACTTATCACTACGGATTGCAAATGATCTCTGGCTCATATATATATCAACATTTGACCAAACATAGCAAGTTCTTGGGGTATGATGTGGACTGCAGATCACGTCTATAAACTGCAGGGCTGTTTAACGTCAAGTTTGTAGAGGTGCGGCAAAATAACATGTTGTATTGTACTTCTATGTTCCGCCGTTTATGCTGGCCCCGGCTTCACCAACCCGCCATGACCAGCCGTGAACTGTGTTCACAAGGGGTTCATACTAAGCCTAACATCATCAAGGAAACAACACGTGGCAATGATCACACGTTTTAAGTTCACACGTTGAGACTTACATAAAATGCGAAGCATATAAAACCCATGCCAAATCAAACCCAAATCACAATGCAACTGACAGTTTGCACCCATTGTGTAACCTTAGTTGACCGTTACAGAACAATGCTTGCTATACTTTAGAAAGGGGTTTAAAGGGTTTGCGCTTAATGGGCGCTGAAACGCATCACCGTCTCACACGTATGTTGGACTTCTTTCGCACCGTACGTAGCCAACCGTGCTAATCGGAGTTGCGATAACCGCAACATCTCACCTCGAATTCCCCCTTTATCCTGCGGCAGTCGAGCCCAGGACCCCCCCCCCCCACCGCACCCCCGTGGCAAGCATCTTTACGCAGCACGAGGTGCTGTAGTAATTCAATCTATTCACGAAGTTTCGTCCGAATCCACAAACCGTTCAGCCAGCAAACCCCTACAATTTAATCGCGTCGAGCAACCAGAAGCGACAATACCAACACTCACAGACACACGAAAAAAACTTGCCGCTCCTGCACAAAAAAATGATGGTTTCGGACGAGGTGTTGAAACAACTTTGTTGCGAGCAAATTAAATCGGGGGGGGGGGGTGGCGGTGGGGAATTGGGGGGGCTATGTGTGTGTTTTGGAGGGTGGGGGGGGGCTGTGTGTGCGCGCAGCACAGCGCTCGGCAGTGTGGGTGGGGTCCGATGGTCGCGGTGAGTGGGAGGAGGGAAAGCCTCTCCTCTCCTCCCTCCTCATCCCCCCCCCCCTCCTCCACCTTCTCTGTGGCCACTCATGGAAGCACGGCAGCGGGGGGGGGGGGGGGGGGGCAAGCAGCCGCGCGAGACGAGCTACACGAGCAGAGAGAACCAGCAACGGAGTCGAAGAAGAGCCGAGGCGAAGCTGAGACGACGCAGCGCGCACAGAGCAGTCAGATAGGTGGCCGTGAGAAGTGTTCGCAGACGCGTAATCAGTTATGGTGCGGGCTTAAGTTGCTACTGCTGCTGGTGCTGCTCGAGAGAAAGAGAGAAACTACTGCCATGGCCATGAGTCGACACGGCGTGAGAGCCAAGCTGTGGGCTCTGGTTATCATGGCCAACGCTTTCGCCTGGCTCATCACCGGTGCCGAGTCCGCGGTAAGACTGTGTGTGTGTGTCTCTCTCTCTGTGTGTGTGTTTGTACATCCAGTCTATGTATATTTGTGTGTGTCTGTGTGTGGAGGCATCACACGAGCGTGTATCACTGAGCTTGGCTGAGCACATACGACACACGTCTTCGCCATCCGTCAAGCAAAACGTGCATATATCCGCGCGCGCACAGACAACACACAGACAACACACAGACGCGCACAAGGTATTGGGATCATAACGCGGAGAAAAGTTTAATGAGACGAGATGACACCCCCCCTCCCCTCCCCCCAGTGCCGTGGCGATGTTCGAGAGTAGCTTTTTCGTTCGGCGTTTCGTTTTTCTGTAGTACTTGGTGATGTGAGCGTGCTTAGCGGTGATCCTTTAGACGTGTCCGTGTTAGTGGTGCTGTTGTACAATACGTAGGTAATTCCTTCAGCGCATTGGGTACAATTCAGGATTTTGATCCTCCGTGAAAGAATGTAAACGCTAAATCATAGCACCGCCCCGCATAAAGCTGTCTGCGTGCAAGCGAGCCTTCGTCGGATGATTGAATTCGTGTTATCTATTCAGCTGTAGCGGTCTGCCTATGGCCGTTAACCTTTAGTATCGCTGCAATCTTACGTATGAATATGTTCATAACTCTCATTAGACATGGTCGATCCACTGCCGGATGGAAGCCTCCCCAATCACCCGGGGAGATAGTGGGAGGGATGATGAAATCCGCTAGTGCGCAGTAATTAGGTGGATGATTATTAAAAGTATAATTAGACTTTTATGACATCACCGCTCAATGAGAATTATCTCCTCGCATTCTTAAACACAAAACGCAGATTATAATTATTACACTTTGATTGACATCAATTTGCTCCTACGCAGCTAGCAAAGCGCGTAGATACAGTCCAGCACATCTACCTGGTGTTATAAATGAAAGCAAGATGTACAAAAAGAACCTTCCAAAATATGCGAAATATGCACGCGTGACTCACGGCTGCATGCACACTTATCGTGGCGTGTGCGGGGATATTGCGACTCGAAGGGTGTACCGATCAGGGCAAAGGCTTTTCTGTCATGTACTTTTAATAATAATACATCCCTTAAAATCCAATATCCGCTTTGCTTTGGGTGATGTGATTTTAAACACGTGTGTTGACTCGCGGATACCTATTCATGCTTGGGGCTTACTACCTCATGATCGAACGGGCAAGCTCTTGGCAGTGCACGTCAACTTTTGTGAGCAACATCAACCATGAATGCCATCAGACAACAAAAAAAACACAAAACCCCAAACTCTGTTGTAAACCTCGTATTTACCCGCGACGGAGCGGTGGTACAGCGACTGGTCACTCCGAGTTGGATTCCAGACCACGGGTAACATTCGTGCTGAGTGATATCCGAACAGCTCCCGACCAACCTACACTGACCGGCGTGGTGAAGTATGGTTAGACTACCCCCTCCTCCCCCATTTACCGACATGGCTTGGGTATGTATGTATGTATGTCTTCTTGGTTCTTTCGGTAAAGTCACGTAATAATAAATTATGTTCTATTTTTATTATTTTATTACTTCCCTTCTACGTGACTTTACCGAAAGAACCAAGAAGATGAATCCCTGCAGTCACGAAAGCTTTAAATCGAAATATGTATGTATGTTGAACTTCTTTCGCACCGTACATAGTCAAAGCGTGCTACTCGGAGCTGCGGGGAGTTCCCCTCATCCATTGGTGGACTGAGAATGGCTGGAATATATGCACGTTTTAATTATTGCAATTACACATTGAAAGATAGCTGTCAATATGGTTTAGGATGCAGATTTGCAGCGTTAGGGTGTTCCTCTGAAGCTAAGCAGGCGTTGAGCCTGGTTCGTACTTGGATGGAGAGTCCATCAGTGCTTGCCAGGTGTTGTAGGCGTGGAGCTGAGGCATGGCCAGGAAAATGGCAGTGCTGACATTCGCCCCCAGCCCTGGTTTCCTGCCACACGAAAGCCAATCACTCGGTTCATGGGTTTGGTCACACATCCCAGTATGGCATGCACCACATGAACACGTCTTGAGACTCACTGAGGCTTATCTGGGATTAATATGCAATGTATGTTGAACTTCTTTCGCACCGTACGTAGCCAACGATGCATGATGCACACGCTGTGAACGACCATGCATTTTCTGTAGCGCGCAGTTGCAAGATGTACGGTTGACTACGTACGGTGCTAAAATAAGTTCAACACAGTATCTTCATTCGGGTTTTACCAAGTCCCTGTATAGCGAGCCGAAACACAACCAATGTCACTGCCCTGTAAAGCTTCTCGTTAGCTCAGGTGAGTGGGGCGCTACTTAAACCAAACCGGGTTTACGTTGACTTTTTTATGTTGCAGTTTCATCGTTTCTCCTTCAGTTTTCTCAAAAGGCACAACGGACAGACAGCAGCAGGGTGGAGCATTGCTTGCGTTGCTGTACTCTTTAAGATACATTGCTCTACTTGTTCAAGCATAAAAAAAATATTTGTTGTTAAGTGGCATGGCACGATGGCATTTTCGTTTTTCCGCAGAGCGTGTGTGGCTTTTCAGACCGTTCCCTGCGTTATTGGAAAATGTGTAAGGCTGGTGGGGGTGATGATGATGATGGTGGTGGTAGTAACTGTGGGTTGGCTGTCTCCGCCTACGAGGTGAATATGTAAAAGCTAGGCGTGGCTTTGTGTCCTCTGTTCAATATTCATAACTCAGGGTGTGGTTGGGGCGTTCACTATCTTAATATAATTATTAAATACATCTACTCTCTTTATGAGAAAGCAGGTGAGAGCCACGGGAACTATAACTGCAATAAAGTAGATGAGTTATCAAAATGCATTGCGTTTTGTAATCACCAAGTCAATGCTTTATTTAATCTTCCAAACCTGAACGAGTTGATTTTCGCTTGAGCACTGCATTGTCCTCCCGCGGCAAGAGACTCTTAATCTTAACAGCCTCTCAACTGGCTTTTGAAGAAAGAACATCGATTGATTGATTCTCAAAATTCCCTGCACATTATATCCTCATGGGGGGAGCGGTGGCAGAGCGGTTAAGCGCACTGCACGATGATTCCCGGTCGCGGCTAATGGCAGTGGCAAGCGAAATCTTCACCGATACCCTCCCCCCTTCACCAACACGCACTGGGCAGCATGGTGAAGGGTGGTTAAACAAACTCCGTGACAGCGATGGCACGGGTAGGCCTTCAAACCATCAATGGATTGACAAAGGGCTGCATATAATTATTAATATTCTTAGACCGCTAATCCCCTCGTTGATAAAACCCCGTGGCGCCTGCAAAAGAATGTTTCCATATATCTTGTTTTTTCGAAACACGTGTGCTTCTTGTGTACCAGCTACATTAAAGTAGGCATTCCTTTCAGTTGCAGTGCGTTAAATCAAACCGCAGAACAATTTGTGGCATTTTCAAAGTTATCTTTGCACAGAATGTCAGTGCAGAGTGAGCCTTGCCCTTTGATTTAGCTGCTTTAGAAGTTTGACATGGTGGGTGGTAACATTTGCGGTGCAGCTGGCAATTGCACTTTTCCCACGGGGCATGCTCTGTCTCTCGATATCCTCGGGAAATTGTGTTACTTTTCGGCAGGCATAGTTGGCTACAGCTACATGTTTTTTTTTCCACTGGACAACTGAATCTTGTCGCGGCCGTGCTTATTAAATCTAGACTGAAAAAGCATGTCCTTAAGAACTGCCTTTTGTTTTTACTTTGTTGTCTTTCCCCTGCACATACGATTAGCGCGATTGTCTACACACGGTGCGAAATAAGTTCAACATGTCGTGCATACAATAGCCCAGACCATACGTGCCTCAGGGAGGCACCGGGATGGTTTTTTTTCCCACTGCAGGAATCGAGCCGTGCTACTGACATCACACAAGTGAACGAGCTCATACTTGGCTCAGGGAGTCATTAGGACTTTTTTTTACACTGCAGATAACCTAGCCGTGCTACTGACATCACACACGTGAACGAGCCCATGCGTCGCTCAAGGAGGCACCAGGATGTGTTTTTTCACTGCAGGAACCGAGCCGTGCCACTGACATCACACACAGTGAACGAGCCCATACGTGACTCGGGGAGGCATCAGGTTGTTTTATATTTTCCACTGCAGGAACCGAGCCGTGCCACTGACATCACACACAGTGAACGAGGCCATACGGGGCTCAGGGAGGCACCAGGATATTTTTTTTTCCACTGCAGAGAACCGAGCTGCGCCACTGAATGAGCCGAGACCCATGACGCCGTGTTGGAGTTGAACCGACTGACAGTGCACACGCAAGGAGTCGTTATCCCCGCCCGTCGGCTCTGCTCGGGCTCCCAGCCAAGTTGAGATGTCTCGTGAGGCCAGGAGCTCAGTGCGGGGATGAAGGCACCCCCCCACCCCCCCCCCCCCCGGAGAGATGGGATCGAGACGATACCGCAGATGCCTCGTCGTCGGAATGAAACATTGTCTATTGTGCGGAGGAGCTATAGCCGAGGGGGATAGCGATGCAAGGTGACTTCGTTTAACGCACAAGACGGCAGGGGTTCTAACCACGTGCTCTACCCACGGGCTTAGATGTTGTTTCCTATCACGCCGCTCCCTCGGCTGCAGTGTCTCTCCACTGAACGGCACCATTTTTTTTAAACATCTAAAACATTTTTGGACATGTTCAGAGTGTACTGTACACGGTGGCACATTTGAGTGGAGACGTAGACAGTTAAACTCACGTTTCCCGGTGAGCCAACAACTGTCGCCCTTCGCTATTCGGATTTGCAAAAATGAAATTGAGGATAATGTCTTCCGAGGGTGCAAAGAATTGTGATGTGTGGATTCACCTCGCTTAAGGACATGTATAACATGTAGTGTAGGTGTCAGTTTATTGCTTCTGCTCCCACTTACTCGGGCAACCCCTTCGATGTTATTGTAACAGTACAAAGTACATTACGTGGGAACGATACATTCATTTCAGTATCGAAATAGTCACCTTTGTATACCTGTCCTGTATGCCTG